GGTAATAGAAGTGAACAGAATAGGGCCTTTCGTGGAGTTTGAACCCATAATTGTTGCAAGTGAGCTCGTGGATGGTGATGCTTGCTGGGTATGGTAATCAAATAGTTACCTACATCTATTTTAATCTATATGGTTATTTTCATGAAAATAATAATAGGTTTAGGTATATAGTTATCTGAAAATATTGAATTTTAAGAATTTCTTCCAATCCAGGTAAATTCCTTGTCGTTGGAAATTTGTCTTACTGGCTTGTATTTGATAAATAATTATCATGCTTCTTAGGTGGCTAGTGTATAAAGCAGTCACCATCCACTGTTTATTATGTGTAGTTTTCATTTTCCCAGGCCTGCAACTGTTGGAAAAAGAGGATCTATTTTCTTGACTTCATGTTGAATGTTCACATCTCCTTACAAACAAGTATGACCATTTTTATATTCTTTGTAACTGTATTGCAGTGTAAATTATGCTTGTGACAAAATTATTGTGATTGGAAGGGAACTATTTCTATTATTCGCATTCCTTGAAAAAAATTCCAGTATCTTGATAGACTAAACTATTTGATGGGTAAGTTAGATGTCTTGGATTGCTTAATCTAATGGTCATGCTGTAAAAATTAGTATATTTTTCCATGAGTGAATGTTGTGCAGCATTTATTTTAACATCCATCCTTTTTATTTCCTTTTAATGAATTGCTTTTTTTTTATATATATATTTCTTAATTTTTGAATCATGGTCAAGATAGCTAAAATCCTACAAGTGTTTAAGTCTAGTTCCTTTTGGACCAAACTGTATCTTATTATGCTGAGTTATGTAGCACTAGGTGATATATGCTAATCTTGAAGAAGAAATTAAACTTAAATGGTTAAATATTATGTTATTGCAAAAACACAAGGGTGTGGCAGGATCCCCTTGAAGTTGTTGTGGGAGAGACATATGATGAATCAGTTTCGTTATGTCTTGATGAATTCATGGTATTTTAGACTAGCACCCTAGTTTTGTTGCTTTTGTATATGGATTCTATCTGGTGTTTGCTCTAGTGCGGTTTTTTATGTCCCAGTGTAGGGTTTTCCATAGGTGACTGATGTTGCTGATCCATTAATACTAAACTGTGTATTTGGTCATTTATTCAACAATGGAGCAGTTAAGTTATTTAACCTTACTATATTCTGCGTGTTTATAATCCCTCTGTCCTATTGACCTGTATATGCTCTGTTGAAAGATGACATGGATTCTGTGTGTGTTCAAGTGTAGATCCTTGTTGCGACGTCAAACCGTGCACCAGATAACCTTTATGAAGGTGGATTGCAAAGAGATCTTTTTCTACCATTCATTTATACTCTGAAGGTAAGGATACGGATGTTAGCCTGGCTCAAGCCCAATGAGCTCTTGCATATGTCAAAAGTTCAATCTCAATGGAAAGAGAGTTGTTGTCTTGCTCCTGAACCCATATTGAGGCACCTTAGATGCAATCTAGTTTGTTTGGTTTGAACTTCACCCTACAAAGTAATAGAGGAACATTCGATTAAATTGGCTTTTGGTTTTATGTCAATAACTAAAGGCCTCAATTCATTGTCCTTTAAATTTATTATACTGATTCAGTAAATAACTTGGAAACTTACTTTTGGTGTAGGAAAGATGTGTCGTCCATGAAATTGGCTCGTTGGTGGATTATCGAAAAATGACTGCTTTTGCCTTTTGTGTTACAAGTTTGTTGAGTGTATACTGTTTTATCAACTACTAGTTAACTTTGAGTCCCAAAAGTTTGTATGTATATTGGTCATTGATTTGTGTTTGTATGGTATTTCAGTTAATATTTTAGCTTTGGGATTAGCAAATCTGATAGGAGGAATTTTTGTCATGGGTCACGATGTGAGAATTTTCACTTCAACTCCTTTAAGTAATCAGCATATGTCTTGTATCGCAAACATTGGTGCTTGTTGGCAACAAGAATATTACTCCAAAAAGTATCCCTATTTGAAAACCTTCCAAATTTTAGAAATAGATGTATATAGAAGATTGGGCTTATTCAAATAATCGTGTTTTGTTGTTTGATCTTCACTGCTGAGAAACTCTTGCTATGTATAAGCATCATTGTCGGTTGCAATGAGATGAAAGAGGAAAGGGGAGAGAGCGAGAGTAATGCCCCATCCAATAAATAAATATAAACTTATATAATAAAAGACTCTCTTGAAAACAATTAAGTATATAAAATGGTAGAATTTTCAAGGGTGTTGATTCTTATTATGAATTATAAACAAAAAAAAAAAACTAAGAAGGTGGAGGTAGTAGCAAAATAGATATACATATGGGTTATGCGTGGTAATGTGTACACAACTTGGAAGTTGAGTAGTGAGTCGTGAAGGAAGCACATTAATAAATATAGAAGGAATAAAAAGGAGGAGAAAACTTTTCAAAAAAAAAAAAAGAATTGGACGGAAAGAGTAGAAAAAAATTCAAAGAGAAAGGAAAGAAAGAGACTTGGGTATGGGAGAAGGGATGGAGAGAAAAAAAAAATACCCAAATGGGAGAGGGAGAAGTAGAGATGGTTTTTAGGTTAAGTGATGACATTTATATGAACATTGAATAAAATAATAATAATATTTTGATATTTTTACGAGTTATGTGATAGATATCCATTTTTACAATTTGGTCATAAGTTCAAAGAATTTTAGTACAAAAGTTTAAAGTTAAGTTGAGTCATTTACTTTCGTCCTTAAGTACAAGAGTTATTTTGCAATTAATCTTATAAATTATAATTGTCATTTTCAGACAAAATATAGTTCAAAATATTATAATTTTTCACATATTTGTGCATGAAATTTTATTTTTTTATTTAATTTTTTTATTAAATTATGATGTTCTTGTTTTATAATTTTTAAAAGTAGAGGGGTATTTCATTGGCGCCTCAAAGTATAGGGGCTATATTGAGACCCCTTGAAATTTGTTACTTAATCACTTAGAATCTTGATATTTTAAATATTACATATAGATCACTTAAGATTCCTGCAATAAAATGTCCGTTAGTCTATCGATTAATAAATTATACTCGTACCCACCAAAATTTTTAAGTACATATTTAAATACCTCAAGTTTAAAATATTGTACTTCGATAAAAAATACTTTAATTAGAGATAGAATATCAAATATTTTAAATTTTATAACCAAAATTCATATTCTATTATATCATTTATTGAAATAAAATCAAAAATAAAAACTCATTTTTTTCTTAAAAAAATTATAATTAGTATACAATTATATTATCTATTGGAATAAAATTAAAAAATCAAAAAAGCGGTCACACCGTACTGAACACAATATCTTTTATCTTTAATTGGAATAATTTGGTTGCTTAATAAATTTTGTTAATTCTATAACCAATAACTGGTCTAAATGTAATATTTTAAATTTGTGAAGTCTAAGGGTTATATACTTATAAAATTTAAGGGGTCTAGATATAATTTATTAATATATATACTAACGCACATTGATGGCAAGAGTTTAAGTGTTATAAGCGTACAAACTTTACGAGATTTATGTATAATATTTTAAATATCAGGGATTTAAATGATTAAAAGACAAACTTAAAGGAGTCTAGATGTAATTTTGTGACCTTAATTCAGAGTCACTCTTTTCTCAGTTGCACTCGCACATGCAGGTGGAGCTTGGATCTTCCTTTCCCTTTCCTAGCACTAGCACTCAGCGTAACACAATCCTTTTGAGAAAAAAAATTTGTTTAATTTGAATGTTAACCAGAGTACTTCAAAGCTAAACCTAACTACCAAATGTTTAATTTAATGTATGGGTGATATTTCAACTAACACTGGTTGGAAGAAAGCAAATCCATTCTCGGATCGAATCGTGTAACCTAACTGTTGATGACTCGGGTCTGGGTCAAGGTCAAACATACGTAGGGGTAACAATTTTTGACATGACACGATAATCCGACATAAGCACAATACGAATAAATGGGTTTGAGTTGACTATTTTTTGTCATGAACTCGTTATATGACACGACCCGTCAATACAAAATACTAATGGGTCGTGTTCGGGTTCAACCCCCTCTGCTCAAAATTTACCCAATTAACCCGTGTATTTAATCAGGTTAACACGAACCCGCTTAACCCGTTTTTCAACTCAAATAACCCAACACTATATAAATACACTTAATTGTTGGATCCCTAACCCTAAATTCATTTCACATCTCAAACCCCACATTTACTCACTCTCCTCTCCATCCTCCTCATTGTAGGTCACCATCGCCTCCGTCTCCCTTTCGTAGGCCCTCACTGACCACCAACAAGACCAGGGTCTCTCTTTCTCTCCCTCTCCCTCTCTCTCTCTCACACACACATACACGCAAATTTGTTCATCTGCACGACTGCATCTCTCTCCCTTTCACACACACAGAGATCTGTATGATTGTGTCTTAAATCCGATATGACACGACCCGAACATGACACGATTGCCACTCTACTCGAGAGTTCTATCATTGCGAAACAAAAAGTGAAGATGTTTCCAAATAGCTTGTTGACCACAATTTCTGAGGGTCCACAGCTTCAAGGGTATTAGCAAAAAAAGCAAGTGTCCACAAATACCAGATTTTTTTATCATATGTAATGAGTGAAAATAATGTGAGAGTTAACAGGCAAATATTTCCCAGGGAAAACACACCCGTATTCCTTATTATCCCACCATCCAAAGATATGGCTCCATCTTTTATACAAGTGAGAGCATCCAGCATGTCCGCCCTTGTGCATTCATCAACATTGATCATATTCACAGCAAACCCAAGAAATCCAGTTGGAGATTCGCCATTAAATAATTTCAGTTTTAGAAGATGAAGCCTTCTCTGTGGGTCATCAGCTATGAACTGCCCAACACATGGTCTGAACACACAACCAAGAAGAGGGTGTGAGGTAATAGAAAAGAGAAGTCCTCAGATTATAAACAAACTATAATTTCAGATTGGCTAAACAAAGAGATCATGTCAACCACTTGACTTATCTAAGCTGTTCAAGACAAATGACAAGAAATCGACCACCCAATGGCCTCCCAATTGAAGCTCCAAGTCCATGAAGGCCAAGACCAGTAACTATAGACCCATCTTTCTCATATGTTTCCAGTGCTTTAACACCACTGTAGGTCTTGCAGACAACTGCCAACATAGTTTCCATCCCTAAGTATTCTGAGATATTTTTCCTCCTCAAGGCTTTGATTTCCAGTAGATCTTGCAGCAACAGGAGGCGTGCCTGTGTGGGAAGCTGACCAGCTGAAGATACCTCTGTGAAACATCTATCCTTGACTACTTTATTGCCCAATAAATCTGCCTGCCTCATTTCAAAATCAAACCTTTCCAAAAACCGTGAAATATGATATTTGAAATCCCAAAAAGTCCATGAAGATACGCCCATAATCATATCAACTAGAATCTTATAATCTCTCAGCCCATATTTATCAACCAATTTTAAACCATCCAGTAAACCCCTACTCTGCCTCCATGTTTGTACAAACTCCATAAAAATAGAAGCTTCCATAAGCAATTGTCCCCACTGATTTCTCAACACAACTCCCCCCTGACAGACCTGGATTACCTTGGGATGCACCATCTACATTCACCTTCAGAACACCCTCTGGAGGAGGCAACCAACTAACCCAAAATGCTCTAGTTCTTAACTGATAAAAAACCTGAACATTCATGGCTGCCAGCAACTCTCTTCCTCTAAGTGATTCTCCTACCTTTGGTTTAAACAAATAAGCCCACCAAGGATGAAGGAGATAACCTCACTTCTTCAAACATATTTTGGGTTGAGGGTATTATAGTCATTTTTTTGTTGCTGTTAGTCAAATAGAATGGTTGTTACTGACAAGAGAGGTCAGTGCTATTTTTCAAACAAAAGAGGGTCGAATTGTTATTTGATCAAACTTTAAGGGAGATGAATACAATTTACCCTATTTTTTAACAAAACTTATTTCCACCCTACTCTACCTGTATACCTATAAGTCCCTTGCAATGCTATGCCATTACTGGGTTTGATATCAATTCAGTAAATCATGCACTGCCACAACAAATATATCTCAGGCAGAGACTTGTTTTTCATCTCCTTGGGTTGGGTCAATGAACATAAGCGAAACCGTACCCATCCTCCAACACCATGACATCACTAGGCAAATGCAATGCAGCAAAGATGAGAACCAAAATACAAACGAACAGGTCATATATAAACATATCATCCATTTACACAACTACATCAAACATTAGATCCCACCGCCACCAGATATGTTCATATTAAACATATTGTCACATGTCTCGTGAACAATCCACCCAAGCTAAAACATGAATTACTTCCACAATATATGCTTTAACAATGAAATAGGAGTCTTTAAGTATTAAACCATGTGAAAAAAAGAAAAAGAAAAAAAGTATGCAGTCCCGTTCATGATGGTTTTAGTCATTGAACTTCATGCCAACAACACCTAAATGGACTAATGCCAACATCATCAAAGGCCTCTTCTGCTCCACCCCGAAAATTTTATCTGTAAATGAAACTCAAAAGCTGATCAGATCATCTTTTGGTGATGATTGTTGCTTTTTTGTATCATGCCCCACTTCAGATGTTCCACCTGCTTTCTTACCAAAGATCATCTCGTCAAGATCATCCATCATGTCATCATTGCTCCCTCCCGGGGCTCCACCACGAGAGCCCACTGGTTTTCTTATCAGGGCCTCTTCTTTGCTAAGGCTTCAAAGAGCAAGGCCTCATTATCCCCAGCGGTCTCGATGATTCTCTGCACAGTAAATTGGGACTGGTGACACTGTTGTACGAGTGTGGCTGTCAAGTCATCCTGCCAAAACAATTCGGAAAGTGTTTAGAAATATGGAGGAAACATTGACTTGAATATCACAGTCTGACCAGTAGCAATACCACCAGCTAGAAAACTCCAAATTTTGAACAGGGGAAAAAAATTATCAAACTTCTGCACTAAGGCATAGCACGGGCTCCAAAATGAAATACCAACAGTAAGCAATAGCCTATGGTCAATTAAGTTAGCCACCAGTCTGGCACTTTCAGGGTTTCAAAAAAAACCATGTGTCATACAGAATGGATCCCTGAATGAACTTTTTCACAAATGCAACCAACAACTATAGCTCTCCGCTGGAAGCACTAAATTCTTTCTCAGGTAAATTCCTGACAAACACATCTGAGAATCCAACTAAAACAATCTCAAAAAAACGAGTCTGTTTTTTTTTTTTTTTTGGCATGGGTGTTTAGCAACATTGGAAAACTAATATACCTAGCATTTGGTGTTTAGTGACACTGGAAAACTAATATACCTGTAAACAACAATCACAATGGACCCAAAATGCATGTCGGTCGTCACACTGCTATACCCATATCTATATGCAACCACCCCTTCCAAGATGAGTGGGTTATCTTATCACGAAGTTGTTCAGAAAGTGGACCATGTCAAATAGATTCTTTTAATAGCATGGTTACTCCATTTCTACGCAGAAGCCAAGAGGTCAAACTACAGACAGTTTTGCTAAGCCTCCATTTTCATCTTTCAAAACCAAAAATATGCAAAATCGGACAATATATTATTAGACGACGATTTTTCAAAGCGGTTACAGACAAAGAAAAGAGTATTAATCAGTTTACATCCATCTCCATCCCCAAATCATTTGCCAATCAACTTCTAGATCTCCTTCATCCACAAGCATGACAGCGGCATTCTTATACGGCTAAATACTATCTTAACAAAAGGAAGTGAAGAACATGGCCATATTCGAAAACCATAGAAACAATCTTGAAGAATAACTCTTACAGCTCCACTGACATAAACAAAATCCCAAACCGCAAAGCTTCAAGGAAATATCATACAATAACGACAAAAAATCCTTTTGTTATACAAGATAAAGAGTTATAAAAATTTCACTTAAAAACCCATAATTCTCCCAGCTTTGAAGAAATAAATCCTCAGCCATTTTTCCCTTCACTCGACCTCAATTTAAATGATAACATTCCATTTGAATTCATGGCCGCAACCACCGCTGGCTTCACAAAGAAATCTTAAATATAGTCTTTACACTAAACCAATATGCCTCTTTTTTAAGGGTGGCGATAAAAAAAGTTCCACAACCCCAACGTACACTTGATTTTTGAATCTTGAAAATAAAGCCATTACAATAAGATTTAAAATCTCTTAACTACTTTTAACCAATAACATATACGACATAAGATTCAAAACCTTTTTCAGTAAATTTTACCTCAGCATTGCACAATGTGCAGAACAAAGCATCTTCTTCTCCAGTTTGTTGAGCAAAAAGATCTTCATCTTTCCGACAATCTTCCCACGCAAAAAAACCACAAACGAGTCCCACAATTTTTGAACAACCACTTGAACCACACCTATCAGATTTTCCTCCATTCTCCAATCCGGCTTTGCTAGGTTCTTCACGAGAAGATGCAATTCCTAAGCACACACCAAAAAGCTCTTCAATGACAATCATAAAAACAAAGTCCGGATGCATCAAAACATCATCTTACACTGCCCTTTTCCCCAACAAAGGGAAAATTGCTGATTGGTGGATTTATCAATAGGAACTTGCAGAGAGGAAAAAAAATCCATTGTAATCATAACTACCCATTTATAATCAATTTTCAGGACAATCAGCTCAATATTTGAGGTAAAAAATCTATATGGAACATTCATTGGTGTTACCAATCAAATCACATTGATAACTGGTTGAATCTCCACTGAACTTATTCAGTTGGTGGATTCAATCAGTAGGATTATATTTTCTCTAACTAAACCATGACAATGCTGCTAACTTACTAACCACGCAAATCTGTGTCATTTTGCAATCCATAAGCTGGTGTTTCGGCAGCTTCAGTCAAAATTCCAGGATCAGCGGGATCAATAGCTCTGCATCTCACATAGAGCACAAATACACAGAGTGCCTGAAGTAAACACAGAAAATAAAAAATAAATAAGGTGAGCAAAAGATGGTGGTGCGATCTCCATACAGGGATTACTATAAAAGACTTCTATTATGCTTACCAAGAAGGAATAAACACCAACGGCCACGTATTCATACACGTTCTTCCCAAGAAACGGAGAAAAAAATGCATAAAAGGCAACAGAGAGCTAGAAAAATAATTGTTATTGCGACAACCTGTGCATCATCACAAACATCAAGACGATTGTACTACAAGTTAAAGCAAAATGTATGGATGATGATGCAACAATATCTAAAAGATTATAGGCAGGAATGTACCATTAAAGATTTTCTTTCCACGTATATCTCATCTCCTGCACATTACCAGAAAATCAATATTAATTGCTATATTGATGTGCACATAACACTCGTGATAAATAACTATAATAACTGACAGACAGGGAAAATCAATTGAACAACTACAACAAACATTGTGTGCCAATCACCTAGACTTTAAAAAAAATGTGAGAAACACAAGTAAGATGCTGAGTACTTTGAGGACGTCAGATTAAGATATCAACCAACAGCCATTGCTAAACCCTCCCAAAGATACAGAGTTTTCAACCAGATTGTAAAACGAGAAAGCAGAGTAGCAATTATTGTAATGAAAAAAACAGATCCTTGNACCCTCCCAAAGATACAAAGTTTCCAACCAGATTGTAAAACGAGAAAGCAGAGTAGTAATTATTGTAATGACAAAAACAGATCATTGGCCATAAAGTTCCAAAGGGTAATTGATCATAAAAGAGGTCCATGATCACACCTTACTTATACTTCACAACTTCCAAACTAGGACAGGGTTTGATATGAGCCCCTAAATTAAACTTCTACTAAAAATCTCAACAATGGAGGGTCGATCATTCAGATCAAGTGACAAACATAAGAAGTAGTAGAAATAGTCAAGTTTAAAACACATTTTACATGTAAAATAAAATCAATCAAATTTGCACAAATAGATATACTTATCTTTTCACTCATAAACTCCGTTTTCAAGTTTATCTCGTCCAGTCCACTAACAACTGAAATCAAAGCACACATTATATTAGTTACGCACATAAAAATAAAAATTCAAAAGATAACAAACAACAATAAAAGAAAAAAATAGAATAAGAATGATGAGAAGGTGGAGCAAAAGAACAATAAACCCAAATCCCTAACCCTTAACCCCTAATCCATTATCCTAATTCGTACTCCCAAAGCCCTAATCCCTATTCCCTACTCCCTAAGCCCTAATACCTAATCCCTACACCTTAAGCCCCAATCCCTACTCCCTAAGACCTAATCTCTTACCCCTAACCCCAAATTATAAACCCAAAACCCAAAGGCCCGTAATCCCAAAGCCTCCAAAGCATAGTTTTAAAACCCGGTCCGGACACCAACCCGGAGAAGGGACCGGGTCAATGGATTTCTAGTTCAACCACTGGGTCACTGGTCAAACCGGTGATATAATAAAAAAATAAAAAATAATTATTAATGATGATAAATAGACTAAAAAATTAAAATAGTTATAAAAATAACATGTTTAATATATATTAAATCAAACAAAGTTATCAAGCCTAAATCACTTGAATCGCATTCAATTAACAAACCAATGCATTCAATTAACAGCCCAGCCTCCACCCTCAAACTTGAATCACTTAATTGCATTCACTTAATTTTTGAGTTAACAAACACTGAACGAATGATTTAGGATTTAGGGCAAAACAGAAGGTGAAAAGAAAAAGACACAAAATATAAAAAAAAAACATATTTATACTAAAGGAACAAAACCGTCCTGTTTTGTAAATCCGGTCCGGTTTTCACGGATTACCGATTTTTTGACCGATTCACCGGTTTTATTCCGAGTTCTTTACTCAAACGGTCCAATTACAAAACCGGCCCGGTTAGGGGACCGGGTCAACGGGCCGGGCCAGGTTTTAAAACACTGCTCCAAAGCCTTAAGCCCTAAACCCTATTTGAATTCTATATTCTATTAGTATCTCTAACATGCTACAAACTCCAAATTTTTCACCATGATTAAACGATTTGCTCCCTCTCCAACTAATTAAATTTTGTTTTCGACAATTAACAATTTCAATAAAGAGATAATAAAAATAAAATAAAACAATTAATCTAATAAAAAAGCAAGAAAAGCACATATAATCAAAGAAATGATATGCAATTATAGGTTCTATAAAACACGAAAACAACAACGAAAAATGAAAAGAAAACAGTGGGATAATGGGAGTGTTGGGGATTGAAAATAGTAGAAACAATGATCATAACTAGTAAGAAACACAAAAAGAAGTAGAAATAGTCATGTGTAAAACACATTTCACATGTCAAAGAAAGTCAATCGAATTCGGACAAATAGATATACTTACCTTTTCGATCCTAAACTCCGCTTTCAAGCTTATCTCGTCCATTCCACTAACAACTGAAATCAAAGCACACATTAAATTAGTTACGCACATAAAAATGAAAATCCAAAACATAACAAACAACAATAAAGGAAAAAAATAGGACAAGAATGATGAGGAGGTGGAGCAGAAGAACAATGAACTCAAATCCCTAACCCCTAACCCCTAATCCGTTATCCGTTATCCGTAATCCGTAATCCTTACTCCCAAAGCCCTAATCTTTAATCCCAAATCCGTACTCCCTAAGCCCTAAGCCATAATCTCTAACCTCTAACTATAAATCGAAAACCCAAAAAAAAAAAATAAAACATAAATAATCTAATAAAAAAACAAGCAAAACACATATAAGCAAAGAAATGCTATGCAATTATAGGTTGTGAAAAACATGAAAACAACAACGAAAAATGAAAAGGAAACAGTGGAATAATGAGATTGTTTGGGATTGAAAGCAATAGAAACAATGATCAAAACAAGTAAGAAACACAAAAAGAAGTACAAATAGTCATGTGTAAAACACATTTTATATGTAAAAAAAAGTCAATCGAATTTGGATAAATAGATATACTTATCTTTTCACTCCTAAATTCTGTTTTGCAAGCTTATCTCGTCCATTCCACTGATAACAGAAATCAAAACACACACAAGATTAATTACACACATAAAAATGAAAATGCAAAAGATAACAAACAACAATAAAGGAAAAAAATAGGACAAGAATGATGAGGAGGTGGAGAAAAAAATAATAAACCCAAATCCCTAACCTCTAACTCCTAATCTCTACTCCCTACTCCCTACTCCCTACTCCCTAATTCCTAGTCCCTAATCCCCAATCCCTAATATCTACTCCCTATGCCCTAATCCCTAACCCCCAACTATTAACCCAAAGACCCCAAAGCCCACAAGTCCGATAGCCCGTAAGCCCCAAGCCTCCAAAGCCCTAGTATCTCTAACATGCTACAAACTCCAAATTTTCCACCATGATTTAACAATTTCCTCCCTCTCCAAGTAATTAAATTTTGTTTCTGACATTTAACAATTTCAACAGAAAGATAATAAGAAAAAAAATAAAACATAATTAATCTAATAGAAAAGCAAATAAAGCATATATAATCAAAGAAATGCTATACAATTATAGGTTGTCTAAAACACGAAAACAATAACGAAAAATGAAAAGCAAACAATGGGATAGTGAGAGCTTTGGGATTAAAAATAATAGAAATAATGATCATAACAAGTAAGAAACACAAGAAGATGTAGAAATAGTCTTGTATAAAACACATTTTCCGTGTAAAAGAAAGTCAATCAAATTTGGACATATTGATATACTTATATTTTCGTTCCTAAACTCTTCTTTCAAGCTTATCTTGTCCATTGCACTAACAATTGAAATCAAAGTACAGATTAGATTAGTTACGCATATAAAAATGAAAATCCAAAACATAACAAAAATAATAAAAGAAAAAAATAGGATAAGAATGATGAGGAGGTAGAGCAAAAGAACAATAAACCCAAATCGCTAACCCCTTTTTTTTTTTTGGAAGAATGCAGAAATATTATTGATAACCCCAAGATTACAAGAAGCAAAAGTATAGCTTGAACAAAAAGAGAAAGGCCAAAGTTGGCTTTAATCCTGCAAAATTAAAAAAGGATAACATTCTTCAAAGTGCAGAGACAGCCCAGATACCACCCAGCAAAATGGAACATCATGAGAACCAAGCAGCATCAGGACAAGCAAAGGCGCAAAGGCCATAAAAAGGATGAGAAACAGCTGAAATTCCAGCTGGAGAACCATTAAAACCAGCTGAAACCAGAAGAGACAATCCATAGAGCCCCAGCAGAGAGAAGGTGAGGAGACCAGCTGCAGCTGAACCAGCTTGGGCAAGCAGGCAGGCTCAATAAAGACCTAAATAGCTGCATAGGAGCCGCTGGAAATCCAGCTGAGAGTCCAGCTGAACACCATGAGCAACCGTATGAAAGCAGCCGAAGGAACCAAAACATAACTGCGTCAGCTGAAAACGAGGAGAGCAGCAGCTGAAAGAGATCCATAACCAGCTGACAGACGCAAATCCATGAGAAGCTGAAACCAGCTGGGAAGGCAGCATGATCACCGCAGAAAAACAGCTGCAGCAGGAGCCAGGCAGGTCACGTGAACAGTCGCGTGAACAGTCCCCAGCTACTGTGGCAGCCTGCAATGAAGGCCAGGCGGCAGACCAAGAACCAGCAGACACCATAAGAAAAGACAGCTGACGGAGACCAGCTGAAAAACCAGGTAAAAGGCCATCAAAACCCAGCTGAAGATAGAAGATAACCGAAGAGTGAGGGCCAGCAGCTGCATTAAACAAGCTGTGCACATGAACAGTGCACGTGAACAGCCCAAAACCAGCAGGGCGCAGGAGACCCCCAGCAACATGAACCAGCCCAAAGCAAAAGGACCCCAGAACCAGCCCAACCAACAGCTATTAACCATGATCATCATTTATCAGAGCACACCCAGTGCGCAGAACAGGCAACTGCTCCTGTCTCCCATTCAAGCGCACGTCAACAGTATCAAGCTGCCTGCAAGTGCTATCAACCAAGATCATTTGTCGTCTCAATGTAGACAAAGAAAGTTGATCGTGATGCAACCTCATCTTCCCAGCTATAGGCAGGGAATCAGTACCCAAAAATTCAAAACAGCAGGCTTCGTTGACAGCATAAGAAGCCAGAAAATCTGCAAGACCGTTAGCTTCCCTGAAAATGTGACTAACCTTGATATTAAATCTATGCAAAATTCCACAAATATCATCAATAAACTGTTTATATTTCCAAGGAACCTTGACCTTCCCCAATACCATTCCAACAAGCACCTGTGAATCCGATTCAATAAGAAGTTGATAATTCATTAAATCATGACGCAAAANAAAAAAATAGAAAAAAAGAAAAAAATAGAATAAGAATAATGATGAGTTGGAGCAAAAGAAGCAAAAGAACAATAAACCCAAATTCCTAACCCATAATCCCAAATCTCTAATCCCAAATCTCCAAAGCCCTAATCCCTAATCCCAAATTCCAACTCCCTAATCCCTAACTATAAACCGACAACCCAAAAAAAGAAATAAAACATAATTAATCAAATAGAAAACAAAACAAAGCACATATAACCAAAGAAATGCTATATGCAATTATAGGTGGTGTGAAACATGAAAACAATAATGAAAAATAAAAAACCAACAGTGGAATAATGAGAATTGCAAATTGAAAATAATAAAAACAATGATCATAACAAGTAAAAAACACAAGAAGCCGTAGAAATAGTCATGTGTAAAACACATTTCACATGTAAAAGAAAGTCATTCAAATTTGCACAAATAGATATACTTATCTTTTCACTCCTAAACTCGGCTTTCAAGTTTATCTCGTCTATTTCACTAACAACTGAAATCAAACTACACATTAGATTAGTTACGCACATAAAAACAAAAATCCAAAACATAACAAAAATAATAAAAGAAAAAAATTGGATAAGAATGATGACGAGGGGGAGCATAAAAAGCGAAATAACAATAAACCAAAATCCCGAACCCCTAATCCCTAGTCCTTAATCTCTAAACCCTAATCTCTAATCTCTAAAGCTCTACTCCAAAATCTTTAATTCCTAATCCCAAATCCCAAATCTCAACTCCCTAAGTCCTAATCCCTAAACCCGAACTATAAATCCACAACCCAAAAACAGGAAATAAAACATAATTAATCTAAAAGAAAAGCAAGTAAAACACGTATAACCAAAGAAATGTTATGCAATTATAGGTTGTGTAAAACATGAAACAACAACGAAAAATGAAAAACAAACGGCTGAGTAATTAGACTGTTGGGAATTGAAAATAATAGAAATAATGATCATAACAAGTAAGAAATACAAAAAGTAGAAATAGTAATATGTATAACACATTTCACATGTAAAAGAAAGTCAATCAGATTTGCACAAATAGATATACTTATCTTTTCGCTCTAAAGTCGACTTTCACACTTATCTCGTCCTTTCCATTAACAACTGAAATGAAAGTACACATTAGATTAGTTACGCACATAAAAATAAAAATTCAAAACATAACTAAAACAATAACAGAAAAAAATGGGATAAGAATGATGAGGNCTCAAAAGTCGACTTTCACACTTATCTCGTCCTTTCCATTAACAACTGAAATGAAAGTACACATTAGATTAGTTACGCACATAAAAATAAAAATTCAAAACATAACTAAAACAATAACAGAAAAAAATGGGATAAGAATGATGAGGAGGTAAAACGAAAGAAGGAAAAAAACAATAAACCCAAATCCTTAACCCCTAATCCCTAATCCCTAATCCCTAATCTCTAATCCCTACTCCCTAAAGTCTTAATCCCTAATCTCTAATTCCTAATTCCAAATCCCTACTCCCTATGCCCTAATCCCAAATCCCTACTCCCTAAGTCCTATTCCCCAACCCCTAACTATAAACCGACAACCCAAAAAAAGGAAATAAAACTTAATTAATCTAATAGAAAACAAAACAAAACACATATAACCAAAGAAATGCTATATGCAATTATAGGTTGTGTAAAACATGAAAACAATAACGAAAAATGAAAAGCAAACAATGGGATACTGAGAGTGTTACGAATTGAAAACAATAGAAACAATGATCATAACAAGTAAGAAACACAAGAAGCCGTAGACATAGTTGTGTGTAAAACACATTTCACATGTAAAAGAAAGTCAATCAAATTTGCACAAATATATATACTTATCTTTTCGCTCCTAAACTCCGCTTTCAAGCTTATCTCGTCCATTCCACTAACAACTGAAATCAAAGTACGCATTAGATTAGTTACGCACATAAAAATGAAAATCCAAAACGTAACAAAAACAATAAAATAAAAAANAACAACTGAAATCAAAGTACACATTAGATTAGTTACGCACATAAAAATGAAAATCCAAAACATAACAAAAACAACAAAATAAAAAAATAGGATAAGAATGATGAGGAGGTGCAGTATAAGAAGCAAAAGAACAATAAACCCAAATCCCTAACCCCTAGTCCCTAGTCCCTAATCTCTAATCCCTAATCTCTAAAGCCCTAATCCATAATCTTTAATTCCTAATCCCAAATCCCTACTCCTTAAGCCATAATCCCTAATCCCAAATCTATACTCCCTAAGTCCTAATCCCTAACCCCTAACTATAAATCCACAACCCAAAAACAAGAAATAAAACATAATTAATCTAAAAGAAAAGCAAGCAAAGCACGTATAACCAAAGAAAAGTTATGCAATTATAGATTGTGTAAAACATAAAACAATAACGAAAAATTAAAAGCAAACAGTGGAATAATGAGAGTGTTGGGAATTAAAAATAATAGAAACAACGATCATAACAAGTAAGAAATACAAGAAGAAGAAATAGTCATATGTATAACACATTTCACATGTAAAAGAAAGCCAATTAGATTTGCACAAATAGATATACTTATCTTTTTGCTCTAAAGTCCGCTTTCACGCTTATCTCGTCCTTTCCACAAACAACTGAAATCAAAGTACATATTAGATTAGTTACGCACANATTTGCACAAATAGATATACTAATCTTTTCGCACTAAAGTCGGCTATCATGCTTATCTCGTCCTTTCCACTAACAACTGAAATCAAATTACACATTAGATTAGTTACGCACATAAAAATAAAAATTCAAAACATAACTAAAACAATAACAGAAAAAAATGGGATAAGAATGATGAAGAGGCAGAGCGAAGGAAGGAAAAAAATAATAAACCCAAATCCTCAACCCCTAATCCCTAATCCCTAATCTATAATCCCTAAAGTCTTAATCCCTAATTTCTAATTCCTAATTCCAAATTCCTACTCCCTATGCTCTAATCCCAAATCCCTACTCCCTAAGTCCTATTCCCCAACCCCTAACTATAAACCGACAACCCAAAAAAAGACATAAAACATAATTAATCAAATAGAAAAGAAAACAAAGCACATATAACCAAAGAAATGCTATATGCAATTATAGGTGGTGTGAAACATGAAAACAATAATGAAAAACAAAAAGCAAACAGTGTAATAATGAGAGTTGCGAATTGAAAATAATAGAAACAATGATCATAACAAGTAAAAAACACAAGAAGCCGTAGACATAGTTGTGTGTAAAACACATTTCAAATGTAAAAGAAAGTCAATCAAATTTGCACAAATATATATACTTATCTTTTCGCTCCTAAACTCCGCTTTCAAGCTTATCTCGTCCATTCCACTAACAACTGAAATCAAAGTACGCATTAGATTAGTTACGCACATAAAAATGAAAATCCAAAACGTAACAAAAACAATAAAATAAAAAATAGGTTAAGAATGACGAGGAGGTGGAGTATAAGAAGCAAAAGAACAATAAACCCAAATCCCTAATCCTTAATCCCTAATCCCTAATCCCTAATCCCTAATCCCTAATCCCTAATCCCTAATCCCTAATCCCTAATCCCTAATCCCTAATCCCTAAAGTCTTAATCCCTAATTTCTAATTCCTAATTCCAAATTCCTACTCCCTATGCTCTAATCCCAAATCCCTACTCCCTAAGTCCTATTCCCCAACCCCTAACTATAAACCGACAACCCAAAAAAAGACATAAAACATAATTAATCAAATAGAAAAGAAAACAAAGCACATATAACCAAAGAAATGCTATATGCAATTATAGTTTGTGTAAAACATAAAAACAATAACGAAAAATGAAAAGCAAACAGTAGGATACTGAGAGTGTTACGAATTGAAAATAATAGAAACAATGATCATAACAAGTAAGAAACACAAGAAGCCGTAGACATAGTTGTGTGTAAAACACATTTCACAAGTAAAAGAAAGTCAATCAAATTTGCACAAATATATATACTTATCTTTTCGCTCCTAAACTCCGCTTTCAAGCTTATCTCGTCCATTCCACTAACAACTGAAATCAAAGTACGCATTAGATTAGTTACGCACATAAAAATGAAAATCCAAAACGTAACAAAAACAATAAAATAAAAAATAGGTTAAGAATGATGAGGAGGTGGAGTATAAGAAGCAAAAGAACAATAAACCCAAATCCCTAACCCCTAATCCCTAGTCCCTAGTTTCTAATCCCTAATCTCTACTCTCTAAAGCCCCCTAATCCCTAATCTTTAATTCCTAATCCCAAATCCCTACTCCTTAAGCCCTAATCCCTAATCCCAAATCTCAACTCCCTAAGTCCTAATCCCTAACCCCTAACTATAAACCCACAACCCAAAAATAGGAAATAAAACATAATTAATCAAAAAGGAAAGCAAGCAAAGCACAAATAACCAAAGAAATGTTATGCAATTANCAACCCAAAAATAGGAAATAAAATATAATTAATCTAAAAGGAAAGCAAGCAAATCACAAATAACCAAAGAAATGTTATGCAATTATAGGTTGTGTAAAACATAAAACAATAACGAAAAATTAAAAGCAAACAGTGGAATAATGAGAGTGTTGGGAATTAAAAATAATAGAAACAACGATCATAACAAGTAAGAAATACAAGAAGAAGAAATAGTCATATGTATAACACATTTCACATGTAAAAGAAAGCCAATTAGATTTGCACAAATAGATATACTTATCTTTTTGCTCTAAAGTCCGCTTTCACGCTTATCTCGTCCTTTCCACAAACAACTGAAATCAAAGTACATATTAGATTAGTTACGCACATAAAAATAAAAATTCAAAACCAAACTAAAACAATAACAAAAAAAATGGGATAAGAATGATGAGGAGGTAGAGCGAAAGAAGGAAAAGAACAATAAACCCAAATCCTTAAT